GGTGCTGAACTTCCAGGACCAGTTTCACCTGATCAGATCTGTTCCTTTTATTGCCTGGAACAGATCCATCAGGTGGGTTTCTGAATTTTATGCATTATTGCATAAATATCGCCCGCCAGGGGTTTCTGGTTAAATCCAGGTGGTAGAGCGGGTGCTGGACGTAGGACCATGGTTCCAACTCACCAGATCTCTTCCTTCCTCTCTTCCTCTTCCTTTGCACCCGGATCCGATGCTCAGAGCTGGCGCTAGAGGCTCCGGAGTAAATTGAGTACTGTATCACCCAGCAAAGAGCCTTTTTTGGCCGATCGTTGGTTAATAGCTCCGCGGGGGAACGTCCCAGGAACTTGCAATCACCTCCAGTTTGTAGAGGAGGACCGTAGCTTTCCAAAGTCATCTCACTTTCCTGGATCCGCTGCTCAGAGCTCGTGGGAGAAGCAAACGAAGGTTGAAATTTCCTCCCAAAAATGCGTGTAAAATGCACTAAGTCGTGCGTAATTTGCTTATAGCTCCGTGGGGCAACGTCACAGAGACTCCATTCAAGTATCAGCTTGTAGGGCAGAACCAGAGCTTTAAAACCCGACCAGCCACTACGGGATCTGATGCTCCTAGCCCGGGGAGGGGGGCTAAAACCACCCCGGCGGGAGGTCAGACGGTGCATAATTTTGGAGGTTTTTCGCTCATATCTCCACGGGGGGATGTTGCAGGGACTTCATTCAACTTTCACCTTGTAGGGCAGAACCAGAGCTTTCAAACARGACCAGCCACTTTGGGATCTGATGCTCAAAGCCAGCGCTAGAGGCTCCGCAGCACGGTTGCACTTCACGGGCACCTGGGAACCAGCTGGCAGGCGACCAGTCGCCCACGAGCGACTGGTTGGGCACCCCTGCCCTAAACCAAGACGGTGAACAATCTTTGTTTTCAGCTCATTATGACTCCCTCACGCGAAGTGTAGGTGGGAGTCATATTGTTTTCGTATGATTTATTTATTTATTTATTTATTTATTTATGCATTCATTTATTTATTTATTTATTTATGCATTCATTTATTTATTTATTTATTTATTTATTTATTTTCAGTGATTTTTGGTCAACCGTAGCACAAAAACGGCTGCACCAATCAACATGAAATTTGGCAGGACTGTAGATGAGTCCRACCTACACTGYGCCAGCCAACGGTTTTACAATAGACCCCATATTTGAGGCGGGGGCTCCATCCAAAGATGGGGTGTCTGGACATGCAAAAATGCTTATAATTCAGAAAATGTTCAACATAGGAGCTTCAGATTTTTGTTGGTTGTTGAGCTCTGATGAGGGGCAATCCATCAGGTCAACCAAAGCCCCCTCCCCCTAAAAAAATTTAAAAAATAAAGACCACCACCCAAACCACTACAATTTTGTGATGCACCTAGTAGCATAACATTTATTGTGAACAAAGACTTCTGAGTTCTGGTGAATTTGTGCGTTTGGGGGTCATTATGTTACTGCTATGCGGTATCTAGTTTGAAAGTTGTTTTGAGACTCCCATGCTGCGACTCTTCAGAGAAGATGCAAAGAGGAGAAAAACTTACAATTGCCCCCCTTAAATATCCTTTCTCATAATTGGAGTCACCTGTGTTATGAAGATCAAGGGTCACTGAAGTTACCAAACCTAATTTGAGTTCCAATATTTAGTTCTAAAGGTTTTGAAATCAATAAAATGACAACAGTGCCCAAATTTATGCACCTGCCTAATTTTGTTTAACCAAYTATTGCACACTTTCTGTAAATCATATAAACTTCATTTCACTTCTCAAATATCACTGTGTTTGTCCGATGTATTTAACTGTTTTTTTATCCAAACAATCAATGATTTATAAAGGTAAATCAGGAAAATTAACAAGGCTGCCCAAACTTTTGCACCACACTGTAATTAAAAAGGAAGCCAAATTGTCATTTTCCCTTTGACCATAATAATATTATTGGATTATTTCCGGGCCCCTATTGCTGGGATTGATAGTCAGAAAATGATCCACACTTTAAAAAGCATACAGACAAGCAAAGAGTATGGATGAATACTGAATGTAAAAATCAAACTAAAGCACTTCTGAGTCTTAACTCTTCTAAGTCAGGAATATCTCCACACTCAAGGTGTGAGTATAAAAAATGTGAAGACCAAACACACAATGACCAAAAGTTAACGTGAAAACCTGTCTACATTTTCTATTGATGCAGATGCAGTTTGTGAAGTTCCATCCCATCCATCTCCATGGACTATAAAGCAGTTAAGGGGATAGTATGGTCGTTAAGTTTTCTCTAATACAGGGGTCCCCAAACTTTTTTCTGTAAGGGCCACATAACTTTTCCCATCTCTGGTGGGGGGCCGGAGTCATTTTGTAACAGAAAAAGTGTGACTATTGCAGGAGTGCCTAAATGTAAAAAATTTATTGTTTTCCAGAAAGCACAATCAAATAACCCTCTCTGGGTTCTTCACAGTACTGTATGTATTCTGCTGAGCTAACAGTCCACTTTTTAGCTTTGAGAGTTTGTTTGCTCGCATTTGGCCTTGCAAGCTATCATACTTGTCTTTGTGACGGGATTCATAGTGTCGCCGCAGATTGTGTTCTTTGAATACCACCGCCTCTTGACAGATGAACAAAAAAATAATCATTTATCCACTGCAGCTTAAATACCCTGCATTCTGAATCAGTTTTTCTCTTACCTAATCTTTTCGCCATTATTCCGTTCTCTCTTTGAGAGGGGCGGGTTTAGGATTTTTTTTCTGGGGGTTGCCAGATAGGGGCACAGACCGCAGAAGGGTGGAACAGAATGTCACGTTATATGTGTGTATGTATGAAAAAGTTACTAACTAATAATAGTTAATAATGAAAATAGTTCATAATGAAGGAACATTTTATTGCAAAAGTCCAACTTTATAATCAAATATAAATACACATATATGAAAAAAACTAAATGCTCTCTGGTATTGTTCTGGGGGCCGGACCAAATGGGGAGGCGGGCTGGATCCGCCTCGTGGGCCGTAGTTTGGGGACCACTGCTCTAATAGTTATTATTAGTTAATATTCTGTCATTTGGAACATCAGTCAGAGCACCCAGTACTGAGGCAAAAGTCTTCATGGCTAACCAAACACGTGTCAGTTAATGTTTTTTAGCCTTTTAAACAATGCTTTCTTGAAAATGCCACATTAGCTAGTATTAAAGCTTTACATCTTTGCAAAATGTTGTGTGTTTAGTTTGTCTCTGTTCTCTCCATAGATGTCAACCCCTTTGGACATTTACCTGTATACCATCTTCTAGAATCTGTACATTTCACAAGAACAATCTGTGGTACTTTCACTAAGTACAACGGTGGGGGATTTGGCTGAGAGAATGATGGTGGTGGAGCAGGGCGATGTGTGTTTGTGGGTGTATGGGTGTGTGTTTGTGTGGAAGGGACATTGTCTGTGGCGCAGCAGGCAGTCTATTAGAGGGACGAGGAGCAGGGGACAAACTTAACATTTCCTTACAGGCCGGTTCTGAGACTTTACAAAAGTTTGAAGATGAGATTTTGAAAAAAATCCAGGAGATTTTCTACACAAACGTCTGCTTGCTGAGTATAGACAGACTTTGTATATGTCAACACAAATTTGTGCTGAGGTTGCAAATGATATCATTCCACTGGGGAGATGAGTAAGCTCTTGGACCAACCAAACATGCTAGTAAGCCTAAAATGTTAATAATAAAATAGACACTTGTTTGGCTAGCCATTAGCCAAGACTTGGGGAAGACTTTTACCCATTTCCTCATACTTCGTGCTCTATCACTGTTGATAACTCTTCAACAGAACATCACTAAAATGACCAGACTATCCCTTACAGTTAGGAACACAGTAACCTAAGCTTTGTGACGGATCATTACTTCCCTCTCCAAGGTCATCCTTTTTTATATGACAGCTCAGTCAGTTTTAAATCCAACAGGAGACACAACCACAGGCACTTAACAAACTAATGAGTAGCCCTATTTGCCAGAGGAGCTAAGCACCATCATGGCAGTACTGACTGGAGGGGTCACATGGGAGGATTGTGGGGAAAAAATGATGTATTGGGAAATAAAGCATCCAAAAGAAAAATGGTTATGGGAGGGGTCTCTCCACTGCCTCCACAGAGGTGGCTCATTACCAGCGGAGTCAGTGGGAGCATCGGCACTAAAGGAAGGCAAAGATGGCCAAAGCTGACGAAGAGCAGTTGCAGGAGGACAGCGAGAGCTGAGTGAAGGAGAGAAGAGATACGGAGTGGAGCTGATAGCACTGAAAACAGCAGGCACATAGCACAGGGAAAAAAATCAGGTGGATAAGCAATGGCTCTAGATGTGGGGAGGGAGAGCTGGATAGATGAATAGATGGATGAAGGGAAAGGAGCAGTAATTACAGGTCTTGTTGTGTGGCAGGAGAGATGGAAGAGCTACTTCTTTTGTGCTGCCACTCTGAATTAACCTAGCAAAATGAAATATTCAACTATTAGGCCTTGGCTGAAACACATCCAGTGCCCAGGCTCATTTAACTTTTGAACACAATCCATGTTCTATTGATTAAATAAATGCAGGGCATTCATTTAAGTAAAGCACACTGCAAACTGCCAAAGTTTCCGACAAACATCATTTGATAATGAGAAATGACTTAACTTTTACATGTTTTGGTCAAAACTTAAAAATAGTATGTGATATCACAAAATTTTATGYTCAGAGTGTGTGTTGTAAATGACTCTAAGCTAGTGCTATATCAAATTTTAGCAGAATATATTGGCTGTAACTCAGTCAACATGTACCAAAATGCACATTTTGTTTTCTTTTGGAAGCGCAACACAACATCTGAGTCCAGGGGTGAGAGTGGCAAGTCATATCAACACCAATTACGCTTTGAAATCATTTGTAAACATTGCTTGGGATTTGAATTTCTCAAAGCGCACAGAAGACTGAAAAGCTTTTTACCTGTCATTTGTGTTTTGCTCTTTTTTTCATCCTGCCAGAGTCGGAGGTAACAACGGTGAACCGCTGCCTGGATGCTGCCAAGGCATGTAACATAGATGAGACATGTCAGAAACTTCGTACAGAGTACGTCTCAGCCTGCATTCAGCCATCAGCCCGCTCGGGGCCATGTAACCGACCAAAATGCAACAAGGCGCTCAGAAAGTTCTTTGACCGTGTTCCCACTGACTACACCCATGAGCTGCTGTTCTGCCCCTGCACCGATACAGCCTGTGCAGAGCGCCGCAGGCAAACCATCGTGCCATCTTGTTCTTATGAAGAAAAGGACAAGCCTAACTGCCTGGTTCAACTACGAATCTGCAAGGCAGACTACGTGTGCAGGTAGATACTATTTGAACGCTTGTCGAACATAAGAACATTCCATTCACTCACCTTTTACTGACCTGAAACATTTTTTTAATGATTGAAATTTTGTTTTTGTTAGAAATTTTTTACAATTTATATATGGTCTCAAACTCTTTAGAAAGTACATGTATTAGTTACAAGATGGTTTAGAAGCTGTTTAAAGTACCCTCATTTTAATCTATGCAATACAGCAAACAGGGATTGGATTTGGAAAATCCTGGTGTGTCAAAGTACAACTGTGTCAAACTTTAGGCCACTAACATGTGCAAAGCTTTGTTTCATACACCGTTTTATTACAAAAACAGCTAGATCTCTTTCATCTGATGTGTTTTTACTGGAATTTTTAGTATGTTTCCACATGAAACTGATAAAATCATTCTTCCAATCATTTTTCAACCTGATTCTTAGTCAAGTTTAGGGCAATTTGAGTAGCTGGTGCCTCTGGGTAAAACCTCACTGGGCTGGAGACAAGCTGGTAACTCAAGATTGCAATTAAACAAAATTTTCATTGCTTGACACGTTGTTAATGTTTGCAGTCAGAAGGCTGTTTGGTAATGTTTATAGTGGGCAAAGTTTGAAACACACAGCTTATTTTCATGTCCTCAGCTTGCAAAACTTTAATCTAGGCCAGTGTTTCCCAAAGTTGGGGTCGGGACCCAAAGTGGGGTCCTGAAACATCAAGGTGGGGTCCTGAAAAGATTTTCTGAATTAACTACATTTTGCCTTAGTTGTTATAAAGGTGTGATGTTAGTATATTTAAAATGGATAAATGTAATGTAAGAAAATTTAGTGTCCATTAACTGAAATCGTGATGAAACTGCATCAATATTGAATAGATTAAAATGTGAAGTGAATGGACCATACAACACCAGTGACTCTGGAGTGAACGCCGGTTTATTGCTGTCTGTGCAAGCAGGAAACCAACGCTGACGAGAAACCGGAAGTCCCAGCTTATAAATACATGCTCTTCAGCATATATAAAAAGGCCTTTATACAGTGGTTTGCAAAAGTATTCATACCCCTTGAACTTTTCCATATTTTGTCACATTACAACCACAAAC